TTCAAGCTAGCTGGTCAAAAGGACACTGCAAAGCACAAAATAGCCATCTCAAAGAGTGAATTTCATAGATAACAGTGTGTCATACAATGTCAGAAACCACATAAGCAAGTCTACTTGAGATTACTTAACAACTCCAAATAGTCTAAGGCCCATGTGTGATGATAGATGTGCTGTTAGTGAAATGCTAATTTTGTGCATAATTCTTGTTAGCTGCATTAGCCTCGTAGCCCCAGTGCAAAAATAAAGAATTCATTCCAAACATCAAGTTTACTTCTTCTCAATGCACATGTAGTCAATAAGCCATGACACATCTGATATCTAAAGTTTGCCTATTTAACTTCACACTGGAGCTGGGTTTTCTACCATTGTGCAGAGACATAGCCTAGGGGTGGCTAGCAGTGGTCAGAGCCACCCCTGAATAAGGCATGGCCTACCCAGTTATGGAGTTAAGTGAGACAGTCAGCCATCATTAATAAAGCATCAATAATGCTTTGTGTCATCGGGAAGTTACCAGTCAGTTATACGAGTCTGATGACGCCACATTTAATAATTAGCATGTCTTGCTGGGTTAGGCTAAATTATTCATCAGGCGAGTGAATGTGCACTGGGTCCGTTCAGCATTGCTGCTCTGTAAACTGCATTATGAAGCAGGCAATGTGTTCAAACTACATTATGAAGCAGATACGTTCGCTATCAAAAAAAGTCTATAATAGCTATAATTGTTTATAATGCTACGTATTTACTTTTTACAGCTTAATACGTGCATGTGTTGTAGGTTTCCTGACACAGTGCTGAATTGTCTAATTGCTAACCTGTAGTGAGAGCTGCCAGCATTAATAACTTTTCTGGCCTGTCTGTATGAAATGTTGACACTGTACACTGTAAAAAGTGATGCATTTAATTTAGTTGATTTCAATTCCTCATGAATGACTAACATACATCATATCACAATTTTGTCTTTCAGTTTAAATTTGGCAATAGTTGTATCAATGTAATAATTTATTTGTGTGCAAATGAAGGACAGATTTAGTTATGTACAGATGCTAATGCTTTTTTTCTTTGCAGTGTGCCCCCCAGTAAAATCTCTGGGTCTATATTTCTAAAACACTGCTGACATTTGTGAAGTGACATGCAGTCTTTCATGCACAACCTGAATAGAAATCACTAAAATCAAAATTCAAAAAGAAGGATTATTGTAGTTTTTTTTTTTTAATATAGGAATAGAACAGAGAATTCACAGATATCAGATTTCCTTGGTTTATTCTTACTTTGCGCTTATTTTCATGGCTTCATATTTGTGGGACACCACAATGCCATTTTGCCACCACAATGTTTTGAGGCTAATGTAGCCTAGCAATGGAAGCCACCCGTTAGCACGGTGCTAACTGCATCCCTGAGCCATCAGACACTTGCCTTAAACTGTGAGGAGTTGTTAGGTACTCTCTAACAGACTTGTGTATGTGGTTTCGTCACTGACATGCTGCTATATTTACATGGTTTAGCTAATGGACTATATCTGGAGTAAGTAAATTTGACTTTTGGCTAAACTGTCCATGTATGAGAGGCCTGACAGTAAGTTCTTAAAGGGGAGCTCCACCAATTTTTTAAAAAATTCTACGTAATTGAATAAGATGTAAACTCACTGAGAGCGGTTTGAAAAGCTCCTTCCTAGAGAAACTTGCTGAGTCAGAATTGTTCACAGTGGTGGTGATAGGAACCAGAGGTCTGAAGTTAGATATACGCTGCCTGGTGTGTGACACATTGTCTTAGGATAGTTTCGTGATTAAGTTTTGGCTTAAAATGTAATTTAATCCATTTTTTAATCCATTCATGGCAAGATGTAGATGAAGGGTGTTGTAAGGCAAAATAGGCCCCAAATAACTTATTTTTTCAGATCTATTTTACCATCATCAACATTACATATAAAAACTCAGGAGGCACTCATTGGTGGTAGTAAATAAAATGGCTATATTTGTGTTGTTGTCAATGTGACCCCTGGTTCGTATCACCACCACTGTATCTGTATTTATATACCAATAAATCTGTATTTGCTACAATAACCATTTCACGTCAAACCACAATAAATTACTTTATTTGCATCTCAAGGACTGAATTATTCAGAAGTTTTTGAAAAAAAATGGTGGAATTCCCCTTTAATGTCATAATGCTTTGTTGTGTCTATCACTAATGCAGTGTCATTAAGGCCCATGCTGCAGGCAGTTGAAGTTTTCCTCAGGGCTGAAATGAAGTGATGAGATGTTTCGACATGTAGGCCGAGGCTGCTTAAAGGAGCTTTTCTTAATTGTTTCCAATGTAGGTAAGACTATAGTGTTCATTGTGTAGATACAATGCATGTTGTGAAAGTTTCAATGTTGCAAACACTTTTAGTTGCAAAGTGCAACAGAGGACATCTTAAAAGATAATGAGAGATAGTGAATTTTTCCAATTTCAGTGTTATTGTGCAATCTTAAAGGGCACTACCATGGAAAACCACATTTTCCTCACTTTTTTATGTTAAAGACTTTTAATTTTCAAATACTCAAAAATTTTATTATGTAAACATTGTTAATGTTTCAACATGTGCACTTCACTGCTCAGTCCATGTGGTCCACACTTGGACACTAGGTTTTTTGTGATGTCATAAACATATTTGCATAGATCTACGTCAGCCTATTCAGCAGTTTAGCCCCGTCCATTCACACTGAAGTTATAGGGAGTGTGTCAGCCCAAACTGCTTTTTGAATGGGGTGCAATGCAGGGCAGCCTTTCAGAACAGAGCTCTTTTACATATATCACTCTTAAAGGCACAGTTACACCAGCAACCCTTTTAATATCAAGAAATAAAAAGAGTTGGGGAAAATGGCTATGTAAAAATTATTATAACGGTTTTGGTACATAAGGCCAAACAAGTCTAATAAATACTTCCTCAAGGGAAAAAAATAGAAGTAAAATGTAGGAGATAGGCCCTTTAATATTTCTTGTGAACTACAAAATATTATTTTTATTGTTCTATAATATTCTTTTACTTTAGAACTCATGAAATGTGCTAAAATATATTTATAAATATAAAATATATACAATTATTCTCATTCTTAGCAGTAACTGTTGGAGATCACTTTGTTTTCATTACTCTAATGTTTTTTTTTCCATTTGTAGCTACATCCTTTTCTTTATTTAAAGAAGCAAAATAATGAATACATATTCTCTCTCTGACAGTGGATTCATTCAGGGGGGCTGGGTGATGATGGCAATTTTCCACTGGTATTCTGACAAGCCCCGCCCTAGTGCACTGTATCTGGCTACACATATGTACTTATTGTTTACTGTATATAATTATTCATATTTTGCATATTGACTTAGTTTATCAAAATAATGACTTATTCTCTTGAAAAAATTATTCATTAAGGAAAAAAACTATGTCAAAACAATTATTTTCACATTTCACATCACGTCAATATTTTGAAAAAATATAGTAATTAAAGAAAAAAATCATTGACACAGATATTCAATATTTTGAGAAAACAGGTCATTATTTTGACATTGTTATTCATTATTTTGAGAAAAAAAATCATTATGGCATTGCAATTCATAATTTTAAGAAAATAAGCCAATATTTTGAGAAAATGCATGATCATTTTACATAGTACACCATTATTTCGAGAAAATAAGTCAATATTTTGACATAGTATGTCATTATTTCTAAAAAAAATGAGTAATTATTTTGACATAAGTCAATATTTTGAGAAAATCTGTCATTATTTCAACATGGTAAGTCAATATTCTCATAAAATAAGTAATTATTTCAAAATACTAAGTCAAAATGTTGACATACTTCTACTGACATATGTGCCCCCCACCCCCCACCCCCCTCCCAACTGGTGGAAATTAAAAAAGATGGTTCTTTGAAGGGTCTTTAGTGAAGGGAGTGGTTCTTTTTGGAACTGTTAAACTGTTATATAAAGTAAAATAAGGTTTCTTATTATGGAAGAAGTAAATGTAAATGTAAAATGGCAATGTATTTGTATGTTTGCATTTAAATTTCCCACTTATATATACAATGTTGAGCTTGAAAATTCAAATTCAGTACTAAGATTTTACTTTGCCATTTGGTAAACTAGTATTGACATTTCATTTCCACAGATTTAGATGCTTTATGAGTATCTGTATTTAAATTAAAATGTATTTCCAGAACTGCATATCGCTGCTCTCGGAAGAAAACCTCGTAACTCCATTTTTGTCGTTTTTCAGTTTTTGACACATTTTGAAAACACCTGTTGCTTTTTACATTGTGTTTAAATTTCATGATTAGTGAACCAAAAGAAATGGCCCAAAATGACTTGGAGAAAAGTCTGGTTCCTTTGACTTACATTGAAAGTAAAGTATGTTTTTTCCTTTTCCTGTACAGTTACCGTTGTGGAGATAAGAGATTTTGTTCCGACAACAGCGATATTTATGCTTAATGTGATTATGCAATAATACATGATAATTAAAATGTAATTTATCTTATATGCATTTTCACTCTTTAATATTGCATTTAATTGCATGATCAAGGAGAACACCAAGCTAGAAAGAGGGCAGAATTCGAATGTAAATGGGAAACAGCGCCTCTCCTGTTTCCAGTTACATATTCTCGTCTACTTTGCTGTTCTGTGACAAAATGCCTTTGATAATGCGTCCAACCAGATTTATAGACTTCGTAGACTTTAATGGACTTCCCAACCTGTCAATCACTCCGTCAGGGTGGGGCCAAGAACACGTATAGTATATATGAGGAGGAAATTTAAATGCAAACATTTTATATTACTAATTTTATTACATTGATATGCATCCATATATTTAATGTAGTTGATTAAAATTGTTTGAAAATTATTTGCAAAAACTAAAAAAAAAAACGACCCCCCCCAATTTTCAGCCAATCGTAGTGCAGAGGGGCGTGGCTTATCTGGAATCAGGCGGAGAAAAAAACTGCAGCGCGAGACTCCAGCTTCCACTGGCGGCGAGTGCCTTAGAGAGGAGAGAGAGACGCAGGAGGGTCGAGTGCTACAGTGAAGAGGGAACGTGCGGGAAAAACACACTGAACTTTAGCTTTTTTACCAAACTGGACATTTAATCAAACCAGCATGAGGGTGCATTTCTCCACGAGCTGGATTTTCCGAGGATGGATCACATGCCTGATCTTCGCCTTGTGCGTCCAAGTAAGTGTTGGTCACTTATTAATAGTGTATGAACGTCTATCTGTTGGTTTAACCCACGTCTAACAAATGAATTTAGTTTGAAGAGAAAACTGTCACAGAACATGTTCTGACTGGTCTAAAGTGGTGCAATTTTACACAGATTGCTACTAGGAAAACCAGCGTAGACCAGAAAGGCTGGTCACCAGCTAAATGAGCCAAGATCATGTTTTGGATGGTGGTACGCTGGCCACCCAGCATGGTCATCATAGATAAACTAGCACTAGACCAGCATAAATCAGCAAATACCAACTTAGACCAGCATTCTGACTTTTTCAACAGAGATATACTCAGGATGGAGATCTTATAGTCCTCACTTGTTTTGACTGCATATACTTTTCAAACTTTTTGATCATAATCAAGTTAGGAATTTCTCTTGCTGTGTTGAAAAGCTGTCTCCAAAAGACTGTGATATGATTGAGTCATAAAACCTCACTTTCATGCTGTGTTTTGATCAGTCTGAAGGATTTCTTCAGATTTGTGATTGGTCAAGCTCAGAGAATGTATGCAGCAAGATTTAAAGTGTGCTATATTGTACTGTAATGAGTTAAAGAGTACATTTAGTTTGAGAGTTTGCTTGTTATTTCTGAATAAAAAAATCATATGAATGTATCCAAACTCATTCAGAGTGGTTTAAAATGGTTTATTGTAGAGCAACGTATCGTCTCGACTTTCTTTACAGTTGTGGTGACAGGAACCAGGGGTTGTGATGACAAAAATATAGCCACTTTATTTACCAGTGAACCTACACACAGCTTTTTTAATAATTGTAACATTATTAAAGTTGAAACAGTGGCAAATGAGAAAAAAAATAGGCTTTCTTTGGGGACAAATTTGCCTTACAGCGCAACTCGTACCATGAATGGATTTAAAGAGCATACATTTTAGGCCCAAACCTCCTCAAAACTACTGAATAACAATGTCTCAGACATCAGGCCATGTATTCATAAGCATTTCATGTAAAAGCTTTCTGTGAGGGAGCTTTCAGAGGCATTAAAGTCTTCAGACGTCTGGTTCCCATCACCACCACTGTGAACAGTTCCGTCTCAGTTTCTCTAAAAAGGAGCATTTCACATCAAACCAATCTAAATGACTTTGTTTACATTTTAATGAATGAATTCTGCCATTTTTTTTCAATCAGTGGTATTCCCCCCTAATCCTGGATACACTGGCACTGTTTTAATGCATGTAGGGCTTCAGACGGAAGATTAAAATCAGCCTTGCTGAAATCTGTGATCTGTGTACTCTCTGTTTACTGGAAACAGTGGATTTTGGGTTCCATCCAGTTCCCTCGCTCCCCTCCTCTTCACCACAGAGCTAAACTGCTCTTCCCTCTGTTCTCTGGAAATGAACCATCATCACTTGCTCTTAACTCTCTGTCCTTCAGTTCGGATGAGATTTCTGTAAAGGGTTGTTCCAGGTAGTTTGCCGCACCTGTAGTGTATGTTCGGTCATCACAAGCAGTCATTTCATCACGTTTTTCCTTTCCCTGAGCAAAATGCCAAAAAAGAGCAGAACTGAAATTGCTTATAATGGAAGTCAATAGGCAGCTGCTTCAGCAACTCTTTAATTGATCTATTGTTGTGCCGCTTGCTGCCTATAAAGAGAGCTTCTCATGTTGAAGTGGTTCCTATTAAGAATGAGTGCAGTCTTGTGCAAAAGTCTTGGCACCCCTGGTTTCAGCACCCCTGATCAAGTGACTAAATAAGCTTCCTTTGGGGACCGTTTTGCCTTACAGTGCAACTTATGTGACATGAATGGTTCTAAAAAGCATAAACTTTAGGCCCAAACCTCCTCAAAACTATCAAAAAACAATGTCTCAGGCATCAGGCTGTGTATTCATAACCAGTTCATTCAATATCTTTCTGTGAGGGAGAGTTTAGAAGCATTAAACTCTTCAGACGTCTGGTTCCTATCACCACCACTGTGAATGATTCTGACTCAGGCACTCTAGAAAGGAGCATTTAACACCAAACCATTCTGAATTACTTTGTTTCTATTTTCATGAATTTATAATGCTGGTTTTTAAATCAGTGGTCTTCCCCTTTAATCCTCAGTTCACTGTGGCAATGTTTTTAATGCATGTAGGGCTTTAGACAAAAGATTAAATATTAAAATAAATAATAAATTAATTAATAAAAGATTAGAATATAAAATATGGCCTGTGCAAAAGTTATGGGAACGTCGTTTAACTGGGGATGTTCAGACTTGCATGTGACTATGAATGTTAGGCTTGGTCTTTACTGTACATCTGCCTGTGGTTTTTTTTCTGAAATAATTGCTGGAAACTTGCTGGAATCTCTTTCATGATCATAGATGGAATATTTCCATCGTCTATTGTTTGAGGCCAGGAATAAAAAAAAAAATACTGTCCAACTTTACATGCCGTCTCTGTTTTTGTGGTTAATTTGTTAAGACTTCTGTTTTAGCTTGACATTGGTGTCTCCAGTGGTCAATATCTGCTGAAAAAATGTCCAGAATACTTCTTTGCATGACTTCATATTGACCCTCAATTCCCAAAGTACCACTTCTGGTTCGCTGAGTGGTTTCAGTTGAGGTTTTTCCATCAGTTGAAAAGTCCTTAGTTGTCCAAAAGTGGTTCTTCTATGGCTTCTATGGAGCATACCACAAACAATGAAAATCACTCTAAAATCAGATTTGTTTAGGGAGCCATTACTTTGAGCTTATATTCAGTTGGACAGTAGGGAAGAGTATTGTAATAGCCCTACTAGGGCTGAGCGATACTGATAAAATTCAGGGTCACAGCGTTTTCCAAATATGCAGCAGGTTGCAAAAGTCAGAAGCCACTTAATGCTTGTTTACACTCTTTTTTAATTGAATACACATTTTTCATTACAGATTATATTTTCAGCAAAACAATTTGAGTGAAAAACTAAATATTTGAAAGTTTAATGTGACTTGGTACAGCATGTCCCTCATTTGCTTTAATGACAGTGTCGCTTGAGCCGGCATGGACCACAAGATTGGGCAAAAGCCTCTGAAGAGCAGGTCAAACACTTGTCTGAACACTTCAGTGGAAAGGATAAGACTTTAGGAAAGTAAACTGACCTTTCTGTACAAGACCTTAACATGGCCAGAGTCACAATTTTGCTTTGTTTTTCAGAAATAGTGCAAAATCTTCAACATTTTTTCTTTATTTGTTTTCATTTATGTTTATTTACAGGTTTAAATAAAAAAACAGATTTTCAATGTGTACTCAGACTTTTGGACCTCTCCAGTGTCTAGTCTAGTGTAATATCACAGTAATAAAAGATATTTAAGTTAGCATTAATGCAGTTAATGAGCCCATGCTTCCTGATTGCTACTATATGCTAAAAGAATGTCTTACAAACCTGACATAGCTTAAAATTAATTGGACTGTTTTGTTCAGTTCTACTCAAATTACACCAAATAATGCTCATTATCTATTAAATGCATAATTAAAAATATACCTAAAACTGACAAGCTACATCACAGCATGTCAGTATCGTGGTATACCAATATATTGCCCAGCCCTAACACCCGCTCAAGTCCTTCTGTACAGTTGTGTGAAAAAGTTTTGGCACCCCTGGTCACATGACGTTGTCAAATGACACTTTAATACACAATTACTGAATTTAAAGTTTTGGAAAATATACATGTATTTGCTATACTGAAATTTATAAACAAACAAAATACAAATTTCAGAAAAAAGGCCATATTTAAGGTCCCTGTAGAGGATGTGTTAACTTATTCTCACTCAGAAAATCAACAAAACACGTAATTTGACAAGGGGTGTTCAAACTTTTGCATATGAGTTGCACAACCTTATAAAGCTGATAGTCATTCATTTACTCACTCTTTTAGCCATGCTGTTTTTTTTTTTATCTCTTTCACCATCTCCCACCCTGTCAGGTGGAAAAGTGTTAACATGCTGAATGTTGCATCACAGACCTGCAGGTCGCAGCTTGTGTTCGAAAGGCAGGAAGCACCTTGGATCATTACAGTCTTAGCAGAGCGAGCGACTCTGAGAAAATCTTGGGATTCATTCATGAGTCATTTGTGAGTGAGCTCAAATGATTGATGGTCTTTGTAATTTAGCATTGAAGGTGGTCAAATGGTCAAAGCCGTTTTTTATAGGCAAATATGTCAACAAATAAACAGGTTTTCAAATAAATCAGCTTTCCTAGTGGACATGTTCGCCCTGGCAGTTATGCAAACGTTGCGGTTTCAGGGAAATTCTGTATAGCAGGTAACAAACAGGTTTCTAAATACTAAGTATTGTTACGATGTTCCTACTAAAGGGCTTCAAATACAGTCAACTGACACAGTCTAACACAGTTAACTCTCTGTCCAAGGACTTTTGATGATCTGTTCGTAACAGATAACTACACACACACAAAAACTTCAACAACTCAATGTAATATCATATTTGTCCACATCTCCAAAGTTCAGTCTTAGAAGTTGGTTGCATTTTTTGCTTCTCACCATTCAAATAATCTCATTCAGTGTTGTTGAGGTCTGGACTCTGGGGTGGTCAGTTAATTGTTCTGAGAACACCAGCAGCCTCTTTGTTCTATTTCCTTTTCTCAGTAAGGGGTTTCTTGACAGCTTTTTAGACCCATGGTGTTGAGCTTTAAGTGCTTTTTGTCTGATGGGGACAGTTTTGGTGGTCTACCCAGTCTTGCAGGTGGTTGTTAGGAGTCACATTTTCTGTGTAGCTTTTAATCACTTTTTTGAGTTTTGGAAACTCCTGTTTTTTATTTATTTTCCTTTGACTTTCACCTTCCTTATGCAAGTAGTTTATCTTATATCTCCTGAAAAATTAATAACTTTTACTTAATGGCTGACTGGACACTAAATAAATGAAAGCTCTCTTTGCACAGTACTATGTTTCCACCATATTGCCCACCCTTACTTTTCAGGCCTGCAGCTGAACTGATAGAAACGATGTAGAAGTTCATGCAGGACAGAGATGAACAATGCGCTGGACGCTGGTCCATCAGTCTTGTCCCCGTATGCCGTGCATATTTTCTAACATGTAATTATGTAGGGCGTCACTGACCATAATCTTATATATTTAGTCAATGAAAATATTTCATGTCTTTTGTATATACCCCGGTGTTTGGATGCAGAGAGACCAGAAAGGAGTTCTGGACATTCCTCTGGGTTTCCTGTCTCCTTTCTCACGCTTAATTTAAAAGCGCTTTTCCGATTCCAGGCTCAGTAACCGCTCATACAAGAGAAAACATCCCACATCCCTCAGCGTACTGATAATAACACAGTGCTATTGTGTAAATGTTTTATTTAGAGTCACGGCTGTAACAAAATTTCATATCTCTGAAGCTCTATTCATCTATTTAATGTCCTGTCAAAAGTTATTCCTTGTTTCAGAAGATATTTCTGAGGAGATTAGATGTGAAATGAAAAATGAGTGAAAAAAATACTTAAAAGTTACAGAGAAAGTGGGACTCCTAACAACCACCTGCCAGAACTGGTAGACCACCAACACTGTCCCCATCAGATAAACAGCACTTAAAGCTTTCATATTTGAGAGAGAGGAGAAAATCAAGCTCTCTTGCTTCAGGTCTGAAAATCCACAGCCATCCTCCCACTGTGAGAAGACAACTCAACACTATGAGTCTGAAAGGATGTGTAGCTGTCAAGAAACCATTACTGTGAAAATGAAAGAAGAACATTTGCACTGGAACACAGAAACTTTAGTACTGAAGTATGGGGTTATGGACTGAGAAGTCTAAATTTGTATTTGGGATTACTTTAATTGTGAGAAGCGGAAAATACAGCCAACTTCTAAGACTGAACTTTGCAGTTTTTCCTGCAGATTTCTTTGAGTAAGTCTCTTGAAAAGAATGGAAGCTGTAATAAAGGTGTGGACACATTGAATAAAATGTATACATTTCTGTTTAATATACTGTACGTTTTTTTTCCCTGATGCTTAAAAATAAACTTGTTCATAATGGCTGTTTTGAGTGGGATTAAATAAATGGAAGGGTGGGTTTCTGACTTTTGTATAATACTGTATGTTAATGTAACTAGGTTTTATTATGTTATTTATTATTTGAAAATACATGAACTCACTATATATACGACTATTTATATTGGTCCATTCATCATGAAATGTTTACAGAATGTAAAAATTGTAAAAAAAAATAATAATTAACATGAGTGTTGCTATTTTAAGTTTAAAATCCTGTCTTCACTTCTGTCTGTGTATGGGTTGGATTGATTGGATGGGCGATAGTATCTAGAATTTCGTTAAAAAAATTGTATGTATGCATATCCTGAAATATATTGAGTGCAGGTATTTATTAGCAGGTATTTATAAACTTATAAAAATTAATATAAAGTTGTCCCCCAGGGATTGGGAGGGGGGGGTGAATTTGGGGGTGGTGGTGGTGAGGCCACAAGGCCTGGACTTCATTGTACAATGACTTCATTACTGATATATAATCTCATAATTTGCACTTCCAGTTTACAGATGTTGCGCTTACATGCTGATCTCTGGCCAGTACTAACATGTTTCTGATAACAATGAAGATTAAGAGTTAGGTAATGGAAGTGGAATATAAAGGGCACATCTATGAATATGTTATTTACGGAGTAAATATAGTAATGTGAACTTTAAATGGCACACAGGTGTCGCTAATAATAACTGTAGAGCGAAGTGGAAAGAGTCCAGCATCATTTGAATAAGACCTAATGCACTGCGTTTGATACGTTTGCAGGAACTGAATTAAGGCATTGCCTTGCATGAGGCGTCACTGCTGTATCTAATAAGGAAATCTTTTTTTATTCCTGTGAATTTCCACAATGGATATGATTTTCCCTCACAGACATTTGACTATAAAACTATGAAGTCTGGTCTGCCTCAGAGAAATGGAATAGCACTGGAAATATCTGCTATCCAGTATGTTTTGCTTCTGTTTCTGCAGTTTTTAGAAACATTGGAGATGATAAGGGGCTGCAGAGCCAGGGGCTGCTTTCCTCATATATCATGTTCTCTGTCAGCAAACGTTTCTGTGCTATTTTCTTGACAGGCGGTGTACAGATAACATGGTCCAGTGGAGTGACGATGCCAAGAAATGTTGTTTTCTGAAATAAAATTGAGCTCAGCTCGTTGAGATTAGACGACTGGCAGTAGATTCTCGGCTACATTCTGCTGAGTTTGGCTCTTTGTCCCTCCGTGTTGGTTATGGTTGGATGTTTTTGACCCTCTCCTTGTTATATGCTGCATTTTGCTTAACATGAGAGAGTTTCCCATGTGAAAGCTGCGGAATAGTTTGGTGTATCAGCAGGGAAGTGGTTGGTGGCTGTAGCTCACTTCCATTCTCTGAGGTCAGGACCTCTCAGGTGTTTGTTTTTGGCTCTACACAGTCTTCAGCAGGTTTAGAGCGCCCAATATATCGTTTGGCCCGAAAATCAGCCGATATTAATGTTCTGAGAATTTATCCTCCCAGTAAAACACTGATAACATCTTTGTGAATATTATAGAAGGAAAGCACATGATGCTATTTTTGAAAATTGGACTGTTAGCCATTAATGGAACTCATTATTGTGATAGATAATACTACGAAAGGGGAATTCTACCGATTTCTTTAAAAAAAAATCTGCATTGTTCAATCTTTGAGAGTCATTCAGAGTGTTTTGATGTCAAATGGTTTATTACAGACTCATTGCATTATGATTTCTTCACAGTGGTGGTGATAGGAACCAGAGGTCACAATGTCTAAAGCTCACATATAGCCATTTTATTTACTATCCAAAACCACCAGTGAACCTACCCGTGTCTTCTGAGCTTTTATATGTCATGCTGGTGATGGTAAAGTAGTGGTAAATCTGAAAAAAAAAAAAAAAGTTTCGGGAGCAATGGAAACACTTACTGATTTGTTTCATATGGAAAACAATAAGAGTGTCAAATATATTCCTGTTCATATGTTTGCTTGGTACAAAATGGTAGTTTGTAACAAAAATGAAGTAAAAATGTACAAATATCATAATCTTTACATAATCTTTCTTTTGCAATACTGTGTAGAGAAGCAATGATTTAAGGGCAGAAATAGCTGCATTCCAGCTTAGGAGTAAAGAGTTAATCATGACACATTAAGAGTTCACCAGTGTTTTAAAGGGAAATTCCACATAATTTTTCAGACGTCAAAGCCATTCGATGTGAAATGGTTCATTGCAGAGAAACCTACCAACTTGGTGCACAAACATTTTTCCTATACTTTATTTCCTATACAAAACCACACATTTTCATTTTGCCTTTTAACGTTCTGCATGTACCTCTCCGCCATGAATGGATTATAAAAAATACATTTTAGGCCTATCGTCAAAGACATCAGGTGACGTATTCCTAACCATTTCATGTAATAACTTTCTGTGAGGGAGCTTCTAGAGGCATTCAGCTCTTCAGATATCTGGTTCCTATCACCACCACTGTAAAAAACTTTAGGAAAGTTGGTCAGTTTCTCTAAAACAGAGCATTTCACATTAAACCATTCTGAAAGACTTTGTTTACATCTTAACCATTTAGTTATACAGGAATTTTGAAAAATTGGTAATGTCCCCTTACAAGTTGTTTAATTTTTGACTATATAAAATTATATCAGTTGATATTATGTGTTATCAGAATTTGATATCAGTGATGATAAAATGTTCATATCAGTCAGGCTCTATGTTACACCCACTGTAACAGTCACTGAAGATATCAGATGGAGTTGTATTAGAATGTTGATACTATGGTATCGTAATATGTGTATATCGTAATATGCGTATATGTTACTATAGTGTAGTAGTATGTGTAAAACTGGTATGACTGGCCTATTTGATTTCCTGGCATGAGACAGACAACCTGAATGGTGTCATTGTTGAAGTGGTGTATTTTGGGCGCTGTAGGTAAACTGTGAAGGATCTGACGGAACCTAATTCAAATGAAGGCTCACAAACAGGGTTTATTTGAGGAATTGACTTTATGTGATCTTTTTTTGGTTGCAGAGGAAGCATGCCAAACCAGCCTGTAACCAGGAGCAGTACCTGAAGGACAAGAGGTGCTGTTCCAAATGTAGACCAGGTAAACATCTGTCAGTCTTCAGTTAAGTTACAAACCACATTCCAAAGTTGGGACATTTTGTACAATGCAATAAAAACAAGAATCTGTGATTTGTTGATTCTTTTGAACCTTTATTTAACTGACAAAAGTACAAAGAAATTGCTTTTTTGTACTGTTTTGTATTTTGCATATGTATATACATATACAAATTTTTAATTTTATGCCTGCAACACAGTTGGAACGAGGCAAAATAAGAGAGAAAATTTCATAGAATTCTCAAATTACACTGTTTTGAAACATTCAACAATAAGCAGGTGAATTGGTAACAGGTGAGGGCATCCTGCTTGGGTATAAAAGGAACATCCACCAAAGACTCAGTCTTGGCAATCTAAGTTGCTTTGTGGCTCACCACTTTGTGCCAAACTTCATGAGAGTATTGTCAAATTGATCAAAAAGAACATTTCTCAATTCAAGACGGAAAAGAATGCAGGTATTTCACCATCTACTGTACATAATATTGTGAAAAGATTCAGGGAATCCAGCGAAATCTCCCTCCATGTAGGGCAAGCCTGGAAAATACTGTTGAATGTGTGCCTTCGAGCACTCAGATAGCACTGCATGAGAAACCGTCATGCTACTCTGTTAAATATAGCCACATGGACTCTGGAGCACTTCGGAAAACCATTGTCACTTGACACAGTCCGCCACTGTATCAAGAGATAAAACTTGAAACTCTATTATGCAAGGAAAAAAAGCCTTCGGTTCTATGCAGAAACACTGCTGAGTTCTCTGGGCCCAAGCTCATCTCAGATGGTGCAAATGTGTGCTATGATCAGATGAGTCTACCTTTCAGCTTTCTTTGGGGAAAAGCAGACATAAAGTTCTCCTGTCATGACATGGTGGTGCATCAGTGCCCATGGCATGGGTGACTTGCATATATGTGAAGGTACCATTGACACAAAAAATTGGGACTTTAGAGAGACATATGGTGCCATCAAGATGACATCTTTTCCTTTGATGTCCATGAATGCTTCAGCAATTGCCAGGCCTCATTCTGTAAGTGCTACAACAGAGTGGCTTTGTAGTCACAGAGTGCGTGTGCCTGACTGGCCTGCCTGCAGTCCAGATCTGTCTCCTATTGAAAATGTGCGGCACATCATGGAGAGGAGAATCAAACAACGACCATGGACTTTTAAACAGATGAAGTCCTGTATGAAGCAAGAATTGGCAAAAATTCCACTTTCAACAATTAGTATCCTCAGTTCGCAGATGATTAAACAGTGTAATTAATAATTGATATTTGTCTCCGATCAGCAGATGAGGCTTGGGTGAGCAGGAAGGCAAAAGCTTGTAGTAATTTAAATGAAGGGATAAAATTGCCTCGCTGTGTTTTTTGGAGGGGTTTAAAGGGGAAGTGCATGTAAAAGAGGAACACACACAGAGCTTTGTGGAAAACCTCAGTTTAGTCTCTGCTTTATAGACGGAGCAGTGGGTGTGCACTACTTCTGAATAATGTAGAAACTATGTGATCTACTCTGTGAAGAAGGGGTAGGTTATATGGCAAAAATATATAATGGTGTTTGAAGACATTTTCAACATACACGCTACATATAATTACAATGACAGTAAATCTGAACTACTGAATTATTAATTACCATGAAAAGTAATAATAATCCAAATAATAAAACTAATGAAACTCTTTCTCCTGACCACAGGAACGTACATGTTTAAAGAGTGCAGCGAGGAAACTGACACTATATGTCGGCCTTGCGGAAAGGACGAGTACCAGTCGGAGTACAACACTGACCACAGGTGCCTTCCACAGAAGTTCTGTGATGATGGTCAGTCTTCCCTCTTTATCACACCAGACATTCTTTTTCCAGCCTATAATGCAGGAATTCCTGACAAACGTAATAGAGCATGTGTCTTTAGTTAACTGCACTGAAGAAAGAAAATAAAAGCGTCCAGAAATTCTGCATTATTCTATTTTTGAAATGTAAACAAAGTCATTCAGAAAGGTTAGATGTCAACTGGCTCATTGTAGAGAAATTTACTGGCTCTACAGTGGTGGTGATAGGAACCAGGGGTCGTGGTGTCTACAACACAGATATAGCTATTTTATTTACTATCCAAAACCACCAGTGAACTTTCCCACATCTTCTGAGTTTTTCTGCATAATATGTTGATGATAAATATGCATTTTGGGGGACTGTTTTGACATAACTTGTAGTTTAAAGGGTTTAAGAGTAAAGAGTGTTGAAAGAAGTTCTCTCTCTTTCTGTGTCTATCTCTCTCTCTTTTTCTTTTTGCAGGGAAAGGCTTTTATCGCCCCAGTCCCAGTAGCTCTTATGAGCCTGTGCCTTGTGAGTGTAAAGAGGGATTTCAGTGTTCCCCCCTAAACTGTGAGTTCTGTGACCAAATCCCAGCTTGCCCTGCAGGCCAAGGACTCACAGGCGGTAAGAATCATAGTGGTTAGTGAATATTTCATAGTAGTTTCTGAATGGCAAGTCTTAAAGGGCCCATGTCATTGGAAAATTTCCTTGCTTTCTTTTTTGTTAAAGACTTTCTAACTGTACCATTCACTCCCCAGTCTATACAGTCCATATATAAAACCTAAGCTGTGTTTTGTACTCATCGTGGCTGTGACGTCATAACCGTGGATGTATTTAGACATGATCTCTCATTCAGCCTACAGCAATTTAAGCCGTCAATTAACATTGAAACAATGTTACCGGTTTCATTCCAGGCTGCTTTTTATATAAGACACAGTACAGGGCAGCCAATCAGAACAGAGCTCAATGACATATTTCATAGATACAGTAACAAAAAAGTCATAATTAGGGTCCTGTTTAATTCTAAGAGATAAAAAGAGGTTGGAAATTGGTCATGTAAAAAATGAATTATGACTGGTTTTATACATGAACCCACACAAAAATGACATGCAAGGAAGTTGTACAATATGGGTCCTTTAAGATTGATAACAGAATCATAAGTCTGCAGTTTAATGTTATGTATTGATCAATTATTTGCTAATTTCTTGAGCTACTGCTAATGATTTTACTTCCAGTTTATAAGCTGGCTCACACAGTTTTTCGGGAAGGCGTGTAACTTTTATTCTTGATGTGTTGGTTCTGCGGTTCACATTAAATCTATATCTATAGGTCTCTTTCTTTCTCAGCACGGAAAAATAAATATGACTATGCATGACTCATAACTAAAAATTCTGTAAAATTAGTGGCTTCCCTTGGTTTGCGGCTGGACGTAATAGTCCTTCACAGGATAGAAGATTATAACATAGTATATACTGTAGACTCTTTAGCCTCTGCTCTATTTTCAGTGTCTTGACATATGCATGCTGTAGTTAAGGCTTAGTGGAGTATCAGAGTGAGCCAAATGGACAGTTTTGTGAAAATTACATGTTTTATCATATCAGTTTTCTTAGGTGGGGGATGTCCAAGAAAAAAAATATGTAAAACAGTTCACTTTTTTGTGATATGTTCTCTTTTTTCTACTGTCTTTATTCAAGACCCTGGCCGACAGTCCTGCAAGGAGTGCACACATGGATATTTTTCAGATTCACACGTGGCAGAACCCTGCAAGAAGTGGACAGAGTAAGTGTGCAGAGGCATTATTAAAGCATTTGAAGGACAAGAATTAAATATATCATTTGCTAATCTTCATTGTGATATTGGCCTCGGCAATACTGATATCACAGAAGGCCGCAACATGCAAATACATCCTCTAGCAAACCACACACTTTAAATTGTGTGCTATGAGCGTTCTTATCAACCTCAGATGTTCCTAATGAGTTTCTCTGGGCGGTTTGAGGAATCAAGGTTTTAACGAGATCCAACAAATGTAAAACAATTTGGTTTGAATATTGCAGATGTTTAACCCTGTCTTACCTAGTGTCTCTGTCCCTTTTAACTGATTCAGATCTGTCCTCAGAGTATTTAGTGAGCGTGCATGTCCACATTGGTCAGTAAAATGGATCAGCATGTGATTTTGGAGCTTTCTGTGTGCTACTTTGTTTCCTATCCAAAACCACCAGTGAACCTACCCTGATAAAATACTGGTAAAATATTGGTGGTAAATATAAAACAATTAACATTCATTTCTTCAGGGACTATTTTGCCTTACAACGCCTTGGAAAGATACGTTTTAGGACAAAACCTTCTCAAAACAATCATAAAACAGACACATATAATAACTCTCTGTGAGGGAGCCTGGTTCCTGTCACCACCACTGTGAACAACTCTGACTCAGTACATTCTCTCTAGAACAGAGCATTTCACATCAAACCCCTTTGAATGACTTTGTTTACATCTTAACCTTTTAATTATGCAGGCATTTAGAAAAATCTGTGGTATTCCCCTGTAATGCATTGCAAAGCATATTGCCATAAACATCAGTACAATCACAATCCATGTTGTTTTATCCATGTTGTGCAGCCCTAACAATAATTAGGAGCTTGAGCCACGAAATGCTGTTTCACACATACAGGCACGCAAAAACACATGCACACAGTTTGCTTTCTTAGGGCTCAATTTGCGCAATCACAGTAACTCATTCTCACGAGTGCTGTTTGTCTGACATTGCTCTCAGGTCACAGGCGCACACAGTCGTTTTAAAAGCCCCCACAGTCTTACCGCACTGTGGTATTATGACTAATTTCTCCACCACTTCCCCTGGAAAGAGCCTATTTTCCTTAGCTGGCCATTTTTGTGGTAACCGTTTGCGGAGAGGATCGAGACTGATCAAAACACAAGTGTCCGGACGGCTGAAGCGTCCTATACTGATGGGCCTCATTCTTTTTCAGCTGCAAAGCCATCGGCAACACCGAGGAAAGGCCAGGCAGCACTAAAACAGATGTGGTGTGCGGACCGCCCTTCGGTATGCCGTCAAACATGTTTATGTTCAAACTTCTGGAATACACTGTAGTTGATAGAGTTGTATAAGTACAAGAACTGACCTACTCATGCTGTGCCCGAAATGCATACTTTGTTGCAAGAAATTATAGCACACAAGATTCTACATTACATCAAAATACCTACATTTTGCTTGTGCTATTAATTGCAAAAGTCACACTGTTAGGGCAGATCAGGTGTAGGTTTTTGTCATGTAATTGAGCTAACATAGCATGATGGCTAATTTCATTGTTCTTTCTAACCTGCCTGTTTTTGATTTACTACAAAACATAGTCCAGCTTGGTAGTGTTGCATTTTAAATTGGGGGTCATCCCTATGTTCTCAGGGCCCTTAGGAAACTGCCCCATGTCCCCACGTTCAGTAGATATAAGCTACATTCTGATTTTTCAAAGTGATTTGCATTACAAAGTTTGCAAAGCTAGCTAATTAGCTTACTAGCTTGCTAGCCCAGACAGAGCATAGAAATATACTGCTGACTGTTGTCCCTTTATGTGACTTCAGGTGACCCCAGGACCCTAACTGTGACCTAAGGAAAACTTTCATATGTCTCTATTAGTTATCCTATTGACGCTGTTTTATTTAAAGAGCTAGGGGAATGTACAGCATGGGAACATAGGGCCTTGGGAACATCTCGCCACTGTCCAAATTTTCTGGAAAAAAATTTTTTGAACAGCAGCACGCTCTCAAACTAGAAACGCTATGTAGTGATTTTGAAAGTGTTTGTAAAGTGTAATTTCTCATTAGGTTCAGTTGGATCTTTGCTACATTGTGTAAAGCTTATCCAATCTCCCAACAATGCATTTGTGAGCAGAGCATGGACAGGTCAATTAGAATTCATGATTTATGTGTGTGTTATGTAACAGTGATTCTCATATTTAACACCTTTGCTAACTTCATTCTTTAGAGCCATCCACCTCCTGGGCCGTGGTGGCCGTCCCCTGTGTGATAATCGTGATATTTGTTGTCATTATTTCCTGCTATAAGGACAAGCTGAACCTCCTCTCAGGTAAATCTGGTTTAGAAGTGTGTCAGTTAACTTTATGCTGGTTTAGATTTCTCTTTCGTGATGCTCATGAAGGATTTTTCTCTGTTTTTTCTGCAGTCAATCTCCGAGCCTGCATCCAGAACATTAAACGTAGCCGAATTCAACAAGTGAGCCCAGTCTTCCAAAAGACATTTGATTAACTTTTTGGAACCTAAGTTTATTATTCATTTTAAAGCAATAGTTTAGCTAATAATTGTCCTTCTACTCCAACCAACATCTGTTTGGTGTCTGATGTTTTCGTCTGTAGTTTTGCACTGGAGCTACGAGGCTAATGTAGCTAACAGGTAGCTCATACCTCATCTTAGAAAAACACTTTTGGTCCCTAAAGAACCAAAATGCAGTTGTTGTTGTAGTGGTTGGTGTTATGTAGTAGATAAACTAGGGTTCAGTTGCCCTCCAACCAACATCTGTTTGATATCTGAAATTATTTTCTTCAGTTTTGTGCTGGAGCTACGAGGCTAATATAGCTAACAGATAGCCAATACCTCATCCTAGAAAAAACACTTTTGGTTCCTAAAGAACCAAAACGGTGTAGTGTAGTTGCCCTCCAACCAACATCTGTTTGGTGTCTGTTTTCCTCTGTAGTTTTGCATTGGAACTACAAGGCTAACTTAACTAACATGTAAAAGAAGCTTCCACCTTAGCGGTTAGCATCATGCAAAGTGCATACATGAACAACTGTCTCAAACCATGCAGAGTTAAAAAGTGATCTCAAATAGTAGTCTCAGATAAATGTTACTACAAGGGGATAAAACTACATTGTAGATGAAGGTGGATAGTGGATAAAGGTGGATAAAATTACTTTGGTCCAATAAGCAGGTTTCGTACTAAAGAAATGTATTAAGATCATTGTGTTCAGCAGTGGGAACCTGATGAATCAAACCTGATGAAATATATCTATAATTTTTAGTTCATTATTATTGAACAGAATCATCATGATTGTTGCATTTATCTCTGCAGTATTTAGTAACACTTGTATTTCATCCAAGTTTTGGTTGGAAACAATAGGGTTAAAATCTTGAAACACTCAAAAAAATTGTCCAGTCAGATTTTTTCTCTGTGGTCTCTATGTAGATACAGCTGTGTGAGCTCTTTCATTGGTTGGGGCTTCAGGATCTGAACTGAAGGTCTTAATGTTCATGTGCTCTACCAACCTTATTAGAAACTGAGAGAGAAATCAATCAACTGATCAATCAATTTTTGATTCACAATGGGACCATTTTTGTGAGAAAAAAGGTCACTTCTGGACCATCTGGACATTCTAGATACCTCACTGACTGTGAATACGAGACAAAGTTTTCAGATAGTTGTTAGGAATGGAAAACAGCGGCAACAGCTCTGTGCCAAGGTTCTTTACTGAAAGAGTCACTGTAAAACTGATACAAGCTCAAATGCATGTTACAGGCTTCAGTGGGCCCTGGCCATTTAAGGGGTTAAAGTTTACCAATGTTCAGTGTCCTCATACTTTCTGGGGCCACTATAGGTCATATTGCTAAAAACAGTCATCTTGAAACCTGAATTGTTTCTGTATGTCTCCACTAAAGACGCTGGACACCAAACATGTCTTGGTTGACTGACGGGGAAAACTATTTATGAATGGCCCACATCAAGGCCCTTAGAGTTTAAGCCACAGCATCTCTCTTTTACTTTCTAGGAGACGCTGACGCCCCCATACCACAGCAATGGCTTACAGAGCTGCTCTCAATATGAGATGACCTCCCACCTCATCCGGCAAGACGACAACCATATAGAATACATGAGCTTGTGTTCAAAAACAAAGCTAATCAATGGTAGCACACCAGGCCCTGACCAGGACCAGAAAGGCGAGCCGATTCGGGACAGGGCAGACGGGTCATCGGGCAGCTCCAGCGAAGTTTCTGAGGGCCCTGCTTCTCCACTTTCTGGCAGCACCTGTAGCTGCTTACCCTCCATGAAGGAGCCAATGGAAGTGGGGGAGAACGAGGACTGCAGTCAGCTGGTGGCCACGGGCCTGGCCGGCTGCTGTTCCTGTGGCCTGGGGGAGACTGTGGAAGTGAAAGACGCGAGTGTTGTTGAAGCTGTGACCATGGAAGAGCCGCCAATGTGTGGGAACTGCTGCTCCGACAGTTTACCTGACTGCCTGCAAGGCTCTCAGGAGCTCTATCTGGACTACAGCAGCCGGGTGGGTAAAGAGACCATGTCGGAGGTCAGGGGTTTTCATAGCGACGGCAGCCTGTACAAGCAGAACGAGCCACGCTGTTGTAGCATAGAGTCCACTGTGCCACCCAAGTCAGCACTTAGCGACAGCAACAACGGAGGCCTCTCACTAATCGCTGACAACCACCTGTCTGACCCAGAGGCTGACCTGGAGGTCCAGAGCCAGTGCTCCGACGCTGCTCTTGCCTGTGGTAAGAAAGCCATTGACAACTAATATCACTAATGCTAGCTCAGAAGTGTTTCTTAGCCTCTAGAGCGATCAGGATTAGTTCAGCACAATGTATACTGGGTATTGTAGTTAAAGATCATGATGACAGAATAAAAATACAAAAACAATATATAATTCTTAAATCTTACTGTGAAATAGGCCTGACTGTATTAAACATTTCCTACATTTTGGCTCACTTAGCATCTCAGCTGTGGCTAACAATACTGTGCTGAGAATGGGGAGCAAGCTATCATCAACTATAAATAATAAAAGAACAATAAAAGAACAGTAAAAATGGTTATACCATCTCAGACTTAATTAATTTATAAAGTTTATTGTGAAACTGCCAACATTTCCTTCAATACTATGATCAATACTAATACAAAGAACTACTGCTTCAGAGTTAATGCAGCCAAAATTATGCAAATTCACCACAGTTGTGAAAGTTCACCACAGTTGAACTCGAAGCAAAGGCTGCGTTCAGCTCCAAAACGTAGCAAAATGTTTATTTAAACGGAAACAGCGGTGCATTGGACACTTAGTGTTATGCAAGCGTTGCAACTATAGCAGCTGAGAAGGCCATTCTAGGGGTCATTTTAGTGTATTCTGTTAAAAAAAGTAAATAAAATACAAACATACCATCTAACATCTTCAAATGTTGCAGAAAATAAGCTGCAGTGGTTGCATTTGTAGAGGACTTGATTAGAATCCAATGTATCCACTGCCTTGTTAACACTGCAGGCTTTATATACATGTTGCTGCTGAGTGGGTACCACCTCTGACTCACCCATCAAATGAGAGAAAACGTGTCTCAAAGCCTGTCGCACACCGTTTCATACCATTTCAACAAAACATGTTGTTCAACCCAGAAACTATAGCAAAACGGTGCACAAAGTTTTGAAATTTAATATGCCCAAAACTTTTATTCACACACATTCAAACACAAGTTTACAGTGCAGAACTCTTGATTGCTACAGTTTTTTTTTTTATTAATATAAAAATGTTTGAGTGATTGGGCTTTAACAGAGTTGGTACAAATTAGATTTTTTTTTTTTTTCCTAAATGTGCCACAAATCTGATTTTTTTCAGAAATTTTAGATTTTTTTTTTTATTTTAAAATTTTCAGAAAATCCAATCTTTTCAAGTCACATTTGAGCCATTTCCAAATGTGCTCCTAGATCACATTCAGTACGTAACTGAAATGAGAAGGGCCCATTCAGAATTCTTATATATTGTAGCAACACTCTTAGTGGGAAAAATGCCCAAAAACGCAGACGACACTTACTGTAAACAAAATACTGCCTGCCTAGCCTGTCATTTCACGACAGTTCTCTTGTGTATGTGTGATGTGGCATTTATATGGAGAGTTAAATTTAGTGATGATCATTAAGAAAAAACTGGCACCCGAGTAATTGATATTCCAGTAAACAGCACTTTTAAAAACACGGCAAGCCAGTGCGGACAGCGGGTGTCTGGCGCGTCATAAATCACAGTTTAATGACTAAAAGATGTGTGAAACGTGATTCATTGCCTAAATGTGCCACAAATCTGATTTTTTTCAGAAATTTTAGATTTTTTTTTTATTTTAAAATTTTCAGAAAATCCAATCTTTTCAAGTCACATTTGAGCCATTTCCAAATGTGCTCCTAGATCACATTCAGTACGTAACTGAAATGAGAAGGGCCCATTCAGAATTCTTATATATTGTAGCAACACTGAAGAGATCAGGGGTCATTTGCATGAAAATGTGAATTTTGGCCTTAACAATGAATTCTAGCCTAATTTTTTTCCTTTACCGTTAAGTGAGCTGTATAAAATCTCTCCAGTGAATTGTTTAAACAACCCATATCATTTTCCTGATATTTTTTTAAATTGAAGACTTTCACGTAGTATGTTAGTATTGTTAAGTGGTGAAATATACCATCCACACTCCAGTCTGTATAGTCCAGATACGGAAACCAAGTTGCAAAATTGGCCTGTTTTGAAATCACCTTTTCCGTCTACAGCAGTCCAGCTCTGCCCATTTATGTTGAAGTTATAAGGAGTGGTTCAGCCCAGACTGCTTTTTGAATGAGGCACAATACAGGGAAGCCACTCAGAACAGAGGTCATGTACATAGATCCGTCTTAAAGGCACAGTAACAAAAAACAGCCTGTTTAATTTTTAGGGATAAAAATATGTCGGAAAATCGTCATGCAAAAATGAATTGGGACTGTTTTTGATACATAAAACCACATAAACATCATTCAAGACCATCAGAGGAAAAATTTAATTATAAGAAGTTTTTAACAGTTATTGTTATTTGACTATATTATCCCTCATGTGTTTAAATACTTGAGATGTTTTATGCAAGCGGTCACTGAACTGAGCAAACAATCAGAATTGGGCAATAAGGCTTGTGATGTAAACTCAGCCTTAGAGGAGTTTCGCAGACCAAGCTGATTGCCCAAGCACCACTGTAGACACATTGGCTATGTATCTGAGGTATTTCAAGGCCAGTGACTACAATTTCAACAATGTGCCACTTCTACCTAGAGGGGACAGAGAGATGCCATCCAGGGTTTTTATCCACATTTTAAAACAGCCTTGTTTAAAATTGAAACAAGATGTGCTGCAGAGTCCTGCTTATTGAGTAATGCTGCTCAGCAGGGGCAATTTCTCCAGTCTCTGGGGTTAGATCACGCAGCAGATGGCCTAACTAACAAGACGATAAACAGCCATTTCCCACAACATTTACTAATACCGTCTGTACCCTGTTAAGGTCCATATGCAGTGGGTGCAGACTAGGGTTCATGACTTTTTGACTCTTAGTGGGAAAAATGCCCAAAAACGCAGACGACACTTACTGTAAACAAAATACTGCCTGCCTAGCCTGTCATTTCACGACAGTTCTCTTGTGTATGTGTGATGTGGCATTTATATGGAGAGTTAAATTTAGTGATGATCATTAAGAAAAAACTGGCACCCGAGTAATTGATATTCCAGTAAACAGCACTTTTAAAAACACGGCAAGCCAGTGCGGACAGCGGGTGTCTGGCGCGTCATAAATCACAGTTTAATGACTAAAAGATGTGTGAAACGTGATTCATTGCCTTTGGCATTATGCTGGGAATATGGAGTAAATAGTTCCCCTCAAATAGGAACTGCTTTAAATGTCTGTCGAAACGTTCAGCGGAAGGAAAAGGTTAAGTTCTTTTTTTTTCCTTTTCTACCGGTTAAACCTCAAATAACAGCAATTTTGTGCCAAGTAAGCGCTTACTTAGCATTACTGCGCCCAGATTTGAGCCACAGCTGCAAATTTGTAAAGATGTGAAGTTGATACTTGGTAGCACTTTACTGTAGGGCAGAGTTCATTAGGCTACATGTCACCTACATAAGCCATTCATGACAACTGACCTAGACCAACAAACACATTTATAAACATTCATTCCAATAGACGTCATTTTTCATAAAGGTTGCATTTGCCAACCTTGATGTCAAGTTGACATAGCAAGTGACACTCGATTTTTTTCCTGACATTAGATTGTCACGACACTTTGTAGGGTGACATGGCATAGACTTTGTAGTTCAACGTGTGTCACAGTGACACAATGCTGGTAATATGACATAGCTTTCCAAGTCTGTGGCACTTTGGGTAAGTGAGTTAGCATTTATAAAAATTAAGCTCAACAGGATGGCCAAAAGTATGTCACCCCTCCTAATTATTGATTTCAGATGTTTCAGCCACATCTATTGCTAACAAGTGCATAAAATGAACCACATAGTCATGCAATCTCCATTGACAAACATCGTCAGTAGAATGGGTCATACTGAAGAGCTCAGCGTCTTTAAACATGGCACTGTCATAGGATGCCACCTAACACAAACAGTCACGAGAGAGAAACGTCAGTGGCCTCCACAAAGCATAATTCGAATGACGGTCTGATCTTGCTAGTGGTTACACATACTGCATGATCCTGCGAGTGATGACATAGTAGAGCAACATGCAAAACATCTTCACCTCCACATGTGGCGTATGTGGCTTATTTAGTAAAGATTTGACTCCAGGAAGGGAATGTTTTTACGCAAATCTATTTATGGGCTGAACCTTTAGTGACCATATCTCTGTTTTCCATTAACACATGGTATTTCTGGCATCAAAGTATCAGATGCATCAGATACACTTTGTTTCCAAAAGTATCCCAACACCTTCTAAATAGTGAATTACTTTAAGGTGCACCCATTGCTGACACAGGTGTTCAGTTTGTGTGATCAGTCTCCATAGAAAAAGCAATGACCATTAGAATGGGATGCTCTGGAGCAGCTGCACATGAGCCTTGCTCAATGCCAAGCATGGGCTACAGGGGTATAAAGCACCCCCAGCATTGGTCTGTGGAGCAGTGGAACTGCATTTCACATGCTGGATCTCTATCCAATACATTTGGCATGAGTTAGAGTTGTGTTTGTGATCCAGAACTTATCATTCAGCATCAGTGCCTGACTATACTAATGCTCTTGTGGCTGAATGCAGTCACAACAATTTTCCAACATCTAGCGTAAAGCCTTCCCAGAAGAGTATAGGCTGTTACTTTTTGGTTGACAAAATAATCCAAAAAGCTTGGTGTATTGCTTTTATTGTCTATATTCTACCAGCTTTAATTGAATCGAATTGAAATTTCAGATTCCATGACATTTTCAGTCATTTCCTAATGAATGATAAAGGAATCCTTTTGAGGTCAGAGACTTACACCTCTTTCGTCTCGTCTTTGGCAGGTCAGGTGACCGGAAACAACAACACCACCTTCATCTCCACTGGCCAGGTGATGAATTTCACCGGTGATGTCATCATGGTTTATGTCAGCCAGACATCTCTGGGCAGCGGGTGCGGAGGTGAAGAGCCCTATGCCAGTCCAGTTCAGGAAGAATCTGGCGAAATGCAGAATGCGTCCAAATCCAGCACACAGACACCACAACACGATTTCCCTGTGCAGGAGATGACGAACCGCCGCCTTCAGCAGAATCTCTCCATCTGAACCAGAGCTGGATTCATCTCTATTTTATTATTTTCATCTCTTTTTAATGATTTATTGATCAGTTCACTGCAGTGGTCACCAGCCTGGCTCCTGGATGTCAACTTTCTTTCAAAGTTTAGTTTTAACCAGGGGTTAAATAAGGATTAAGAAGGTAGGGTGGACATTCATTTCATGGGTGCCAGCAATGTCATTCCAATTAAATGTTATGATATGGAGTTATAGTATGGAGTATTATGTGGAGCACTTACATGATTACATCTATACTATACATGGTCCATTCATCTTCACTCAATGTAAAGGGCTACTGGTGCTTTCAAATAGTTTAAAAAAATCATTTAAAAAAGAGGTTTTGGTACGACAGAGACTGCATTTAGCAAAAGCTAGTTGGGAAAGCATTGTCAACAATGGCATATTTTTGAGTATGCCACATCAGGGAGGGTCTCAGAGCATTTTCTCTCTGTGATAGGTGGGCAGGGATGTGGGAAGTAGGGGTGCGGCGGGGGGCTGCGGTACCTCCAGGTTTCAGGAGTGTTTAACTGCAATTACCAAAAACAGTAACAGAGCACTGTTGAAGTTACACTGCCTTTGAAAGCAAAGTGAATCAGTTCCCTCGCCAACTGTTGGCCATTTGGCAGGGCGGTGGGGGTGGTGGGGGTTTGGGGCATTGTGTTGCTAAAACACAAGCAGGAGTAGGCTATTTCTGTGCGTCCATGCAGCTAATATCGTTTTAAAAACGTCAGCCAACATAAATATCTCCTACTCCTAGACGTGCTATATATGTATGTGTAGCTTCCAATTGGTTGACACACAGCTCATTTGTTTAAAATTTGTCCTGCAAGAGAGAGAAGAGACAGTAGGGTAAGCGTTAGTGTTTGCAGTGTCAGTTACACATGCATATCTGTACATTCACCTCTCTTGCATGTTAAGATGTGTTCTGTTTAATGTAAATTATCCAAACAATCCACCTGTAGGTGAGATGAAACATGATATTATTGGTTATTATGATTTGTCCCACCCACTGGTGCACAGTGATGTAATCGAAACGCAGATGAAGTTTCAGAGGAGGACAAAAGGCACTATATTTTGGTGTCTTTTAGGTGATAAGTAACACCTAAAGTTGACAAGTTGACTTAGGTTTGATTCAGCTACCTCAGTGGTAACAGATTTATCTGGCTATGCAACAAATGGTTTTAAATGACTTCATATTTAAAGTTATAGTAATTGAAGGTTGATGGATGTGCTTATTTTGATCATTTAACTCCAGTTTCCAGCACTGTTTTTTCAGAGCCTTTCAGAAAGTTGAGCTGAAATGGGCAGAAATGTTAGAGAGGAGAAGGTTGGTGACCACTAGTTTACCGATCTTTGTCTTAGCATCCCGAGTGCTATTTCTTAAAGAAAAATGCTGTGCATTTGTTGAACATATGTGTGTTTTTCTTGTTGTTTTGTAATCAGAAATCTAAATTGCTATAATTGTACAGATGTCTATGATTTATGTCTGTCCTTTGCGTTGGCCTGAACCATCTAATTTGCAGACAATCCCTATGTTGTCAAGCCAAATAAAAAGAGCAGCTTGGTGGGACAAGAAGTCAAAGCTACTGTTGAGCAACTCTAGCCAAAGAAAATCAAAACCGGTCCAGAGAAAGCACAACATGCACCCGCAGGAACAAAAGCGTGCCTCTGTCCCAAAGCCTGTGGTCCTTTTGTCCCTGCTTCTCAGGCCTTTTCTGAGGAGGAACTAGTGCACAACATCTCACCGAGAGATTGCGTTATGGACCGTAATTAAAGCTCCTAGAAGAGACTCTGTCAAAACAAAATAGGGGCAGGTTTGCTTTTTTGCTTCGTAAAAGTTTGTATTTTGTTTTTTTTTCCTTTGGTCTGGGAAATGTTCTAATTTTGTTCATGTTGTTGTTTATGGTGGCATTATTAGCCACTAATCTGACCATTCAGTCTAACTGAAATAAAACGGAGTGTAGCCATTCATTGGACATGCATTACATTTGTATATAGAAGTATATATATATAATTCAAAATCAATGTTTGACATATAAATGAGCTAAGCTGGAACCTTCTATTACTGGAAATAAAGATAATTTGTACGAAACAGCTCTGTGAGTGTGAGACTTAGGGGCGTTGTTCTTTTTTAAGATAAGCTGTTTACAGTGAGAGCATTGCTAATTGAACATGAAGTAAAACCTCAAATTCTTCCCTGTGCCAGCATTGACGTTAAACCTGCAATTACAGCTCTGAATGGCTACCAGCTGTCATAAGGTCAGTGAGATATGTGGGCTGTAGCTATTGTGTTTGGCCACATAAAAAGGTGCAAGTCTGATTACAGAGACACAATCAGCCTGCTTTTCCACAGGGACGAGAAACCAACTCAAGAAAGTGTTGCTTTTTCTGCCAAAGCAGGAATTTATGACTGGTCAGCACAAGGTTAACCTTCCATAGAACACCCAGTCATTTCTGTGAGATGGTCTGCAGAACAGAAATAAAGGAACAGATATTTTTTATATTTGAGAAACATTTCAAGTATATTGTTTAATTCCAAAATGCATTTCAAACACTAAAATACACCTCCAAAAAAGATGCTTCTTAGAGGGTTCTTTAGTACAGAAAATGGTTCTATATAGAACCATGAGCACTCAAAGGACCCTTTGCATGATTAAAGGTACTTTGATGAAGAAAGTGCTATAGATGGTTCTATATAGAACCTTTTTGGAAAGAGTTCTATGTAGTACTAAAAAAGTGTTCTTCTATTGTTACAAGCTTGTATCATAACAATAGTAGAACCCTTTTTGGTGCTATATAGAACCCTTTTCAGAAATGTACAAGGTTCTATATAGAACCATATACAGCACATTCTCCATCAGTCTGACACACACGCACACATATATATTTATATATGTATGTATGTATGTATGTATATATATATATATATATATATGTGTGTGTGTGTGTGTGTGTGTGTGTGTGTGTGTGCGTGTATATGTATATATTATGTTTTATGTGTATTAAAATTATATTTATTTTCTAATCTATGTGTTAAACACACTACATTATTTTCTTTTTCATATAGAAATTAAAGGTAGAGAAAGTCTGCCCTCTAGTGACTTTGAGGAGAGTTAGTGATTGGATTAAAAAAATAATACCAAGTTTTGACATTTCTAACGCAGATGGAGAGGATTGTGCAAAAAGTGGGTGGAGATATAAGGAAGTGCCACTGATTACATTTTCTGCTGAATTTACTAAAGTTTGAGCAACTCATGGCAGCTGACTTTGCACCAATTTTCAGCATTTTAAAACTGGGTGTAAATTTGCACTAGGCGCATTAAAGTGAGACTTCCTTTACCAATGGCAGCAAGGAGGCACGAGCCTCTAACATGAGGTGAAAGAATATTTACCAGTTACCAACAATAACACTGTTTCACTTTAATAGAATTGCACCCCTGTAGGACATTTTGGTGGAAATTAATCTTGTTTAGTAACACTTTTTGCTAGTGCTTATGCTGGTCTGGTGCTGGTTTAGCTGCTCACCCAACATGGTCATGATGGTTGACCAGCATACCAGCATCCAAACACCACATATGCTGGTTTTGCTTGTCACCAGTCATGCTGGTTTATCTAGCAGGGCATTATAAACCCTGCATTTTTTCAATATGATTTTTTCAATATAGATTACCAGATTATGACACAAAAAATATTGTCAGTGATAATCAGTTGTAAGGTACAGATGCAGACAGAGGTTAGGTAGTTGTGCTTGAAAAACCCACACGCAGCCTCATAAGTAACACATTAACAGCTCAATAAAAACATGTGTTTGGCTCTTGTTCTTTTTGTGTGAAAGGCCGTTTCCACAAGGTAGAAAAAAATAAAGAACATAATAAAGGCCTTCTGCTTCAGGTTCAAACAGTGGCTCATTATGTCAAAATAATGACTTACCTTTCTCAGAACTTAGTAAATCAAAATAATGACAAAGTGAAAAAAAATCAAGACTTTTCTCTGTCCTGGCGACCAGGTAGTGGAATGAATTCCCACTGGCTGTCCGAACAGCAGACTCTCTCGTGGTCTTCAAATGCAGACTGAAGACACACCTCTTTTAACAGCACTTAAGTGAGCACTAAGTTAAGTACCTACTGAAATGTATTACGCTATGCTTAATTCTGTTTGTTTTTCTCTAGGTATCAACACAGGCTTTTGTTTCTAGCAATAACTGAGCTTTCAATATCTTTTCAATAAAGATACTTTCTTAGCTAGTTACAAAAGTGAATAGACAACAAAGCACTTTTGTAAGTCGCTCTGGATAAGAGCATCTGCTAAATGCTGTAAATGTAAATTAGTTACCACTTGTTGAGAAAGTATGTGATCAGAATCAGAATTACAGTGCATGTTGTACGTACAAGCAGTGCATGACAAGTGACATGTAACATACTAAGCAGACCAGACAAGCACATAAACAAATGTTTAACTAAGGCACAAAGTAAAAATACAATAAATAGAACGAAGAATAAAAGAGTCAATAATAAAGAGCTAATGTGAAAGGAGCTAAAACGGTTGAATATCATTGCTGTCCAAAAAGCCATACAATGTAAAGGGCAGCTGCTGTACTCAAATAATGTAGAACATTAGTAATTGCTGAAATGGAGTGAACAGTGATGACATGTACATGTGCAGGGTCTGAGGGGATATTATAGTACAGAATTTCATGTTAAAAAACATGATGATAAGCAAAAACAGTAAATACAGTAAAGGAGGTTTGTTGGTTTCAGTTTAAAGTGCAAGGTGTTGACTGTGGTTGATGAGCACTAGAGCTCTGTTGGCTTGTCTGGTTATGCTCACTTTGATGGCCCTAAATTTTCTACCAGAGGAAAATGGCTGGACAAGGTCATGTCCAGGGTGAGAGGGGTCAGCTGTAATCTCACCAGCACACTTCATCAGCCTGCTGTTGTAGATGTCCTGAAACATTGGCACACTACATCTGATCATCCTCCCCACTGTCCTGATTATATGCTGGAGTTTGCCTTGTTCTTTAGTGGTGAAGCCAGATGGTTAAAGATGATGTGAGGATGGACTTGATGACCACTGTGTAGAACTGGATCATCAGGCTCTGTGGCAGGTTGAAGGAGCTGTTGATGTTGAGGTGGGGTTTGCACCTGAAGTCCACCACCCAACTCTACTGTATTTTGCATGTTCAGCAACAGGTGGTTGTTACTGCATGAGGAGACCAGCTGCTCGACTTCCTTTCTGTAGGAAGACGGTTGGTTATGAGGCTGACCATGGTGGTGTCGTCTGCAAACTCCAGGATTTTCACAGCTGGTTTCTTGCGGATACAGTCATTTAGTGTAGAGACTGGAAGACCGAAGAAGGGGTGTGCTGAAATGGAGTGAACAGTGATGACATGTACATGTGTAGGGTCTGAGGGGATACTATAGTACAGAATTTCATGTTAAAAAACATGATGATAAGCAAAAACAGTAAATACAGTAAAGGAGGTTTGTTGGTTTCAGTTTAAAGTGCAAGGTGTTGACTGTGGTTGATGAGCACTAGAGCTCTGTTGGCTTGTCTGGTTATGCTCACTTTGATGGCCCTAAATTTTCTACCAGAGGAAAATGGCTGGACAAGGTCATGTCCAGGGTGAGAGGGGTCAGCTGTAATCTCACCAGCACACTTCATCAGCCTGCTGTTGTAGATGTCCTGAAGCATTGGCACACTACATCTGATCATCCTCCCCACTGTCCTGATTATATGCTGGAGTTTGCCTTGTTCTTTAGTGGTGAAGCCAGATG